ACCTGGATGACTGAGAATCTCCACAGACAATCTTTAAGTGTAGCAAATTCATTGGTAAACCTATGAATGGTAAAATCATTTTTGATCATACTGTGAGACAGGTAGCGGGTCACTTAGATACGATAGCAGATTCCATTGGATACTTTCAAATGGAGATGAAAAATATTTTGTTAGACATCCTGTAATTTAGTCTCTTCCTTCTTCCTTGACCAGGAGTCTCTGATTTATTCAGTAAACATTAAAAGTACATTCTGCATTGCATTTTAAATGTTCTTGTTTTCTTTTGGTAAATATTGCCTCTTTTAAAACACTTTTTCATTCTTATGTTCTTGATTCCCTTATCTTACTATTGTAGCGGGTTTTTTTGTTCTGTCACATTTATTCGTGTCATTCCTTTCCTTGCAATATAAATTACTGCTGTATAATCTTTCCATCAAAATCATACTCTTCATTGCAATCTTATTTATTCACTTCAATGCCTCACAGGAGTATTTGCCACTACACACTGTAGTTCCAGCATAATAATAACAATGTCTCTTTAAGTTTTAATTTTCCCTCCCATCTTTTTGATAAATACTTTTCCTATTTGTGGTGTCACTGGTAAAATATTTTACTACTTGCTTTATTTGAATTTCTCTACATAATCAGCAACATTATGTACTAATAATTATAACAATTTGAAGACAGAAGGCAGTTCATAGAACTATCCCATTTCTTTAATTGCTAATACTGGGAATTTCTCTCCTTCCTTCTTCTTTACAGAGTTGTGACAAAGAATTATCAGCATGTGCTAGCATTGGTATTTGCAGTAACTGAGATCAATGAAAATCAACATTTCTTGCCTAATATCTCCTTGGGTTTCCACATCTCGGAGAGCTATTTCAGTGCCAGGAGATACTATCACATCGCCCTAGATTTTTTCTCAGCAATTCATACACTAATTCCTAATTATAAGTGCAATAATCAGAGCAGTCTGATTGCAGTTATTGGGGGATTGGGCACAGATACTTCCCGGCATTTGGCTGCCATTTTGAACATCTATAAGTTACCTCAGGTATAAAGAGAAAGTAGAATGTCAATTTTTATCATGATTTATCACAATGTTTTACTTTCCTATCAGAAAGGGAATTTATTGAAAGTTTCTTCATAGAGATGTTGAAAAGCACTCATATTTAACAATAACAATAATCAGCGTATGTTCTATGAAAATACCTTTAATACTATCAAACATCTGCCTATCCCAAGTCCTTGGGAAACACTCAGTGGCTGGATAAAAATGCCAATCTCATCTAAACATCTGATTGACTGTGACTAGTATTAGACTAATAATCTAATTAATTATCATACTTTTCTTAATCATTTCTTTGTAAACTGTAGTTGCAAGTTCAGAGCCTACAATAGAGGTGTCCCTTATCCACTTTCACCTTTCTGGAATTGAATCTCCTCACTGCTTCATAGAGAAGCTATGCATCCAATTGCTGAATTTAATAGGGTTGCTAATTTAATAAACTGATAGATAAATTGGATTCTAAGTGAAAGTAGTGAAGTTGCTGAAAATTGTTTAGACTTATTCCCTTTTAGTAATTCTTGTGAAAGGAAATTGGGAAAAAGTTATTTTTCTTTGAAATTGGTTGAAAAGAGTTTAAAATAGATAGGCAGCACAAAAATGTAGCAGAACCTGATAAATATTTACTCAAAGCAATGTAGCACAAGAGCACATTTAAACACTCACATGACATACAAGTGCTGAATGTTTCTTAATTTTTTAAATAATTTTTACAGTGTTTCTTTTTAAAGAAATTTTATTACAGATTATGATTAGAAAAATAAAAACTAATACACACTAACAGAAATACAAGATTCGTTTTTTGGGAAAAGGGGAAAGGGGAAAAAAAGAAAGTCCATAAAAATGAAAAAATATATATAAAGAAGTAACTTCTTCATCACAAGTATAAATTTTAGTAATTTATCAGTTTCTTAAAATGCAACAAATTCTCTTTTTCCCTCATATTTCATCTGTTGAGTATAAACAAAAGCTTTAAACCTTATCATTCATCCCTAGTCAGCAAAAGTTCATTAAGAGCTATCAGAGGAAACATCACATCTCTTTTAAATTTGATCAAAAGCAAAATATATTCCTTCTTTGTATTTTCAACATTTTGATTTTTATGCCTTTCAAATAATATGCTCAATTTGTTTCTTTTCATTTTTTCTTTGTCTCATTTAAGATTTCTTTTATAAATTCAGTAAAAAAAGTTATCTAAATCAGCCCACTAGTTTTTATTTGCATGTCCCTTTTAAATACTAAAATGTGAACCAATTTCATTTATGTATCCAGTATACCATCTTTTTTCATATTGTAATTTGTAATTTGTCATGCTTAAATCTATATTCAAATCAATTCCAGTCTTATCCAATATAGCATGTTCCTGTATTGTAACATCTTTTGTAAAACATTGATCTATGATATTAGATATATTTAAAAATAAGTTTTGAGTCCTTTGTTCACAAATCTCCATAGAAATATCAATTCTGTAATAGTGTTTTATTTTTTTCATTTAATTGTAATCTTTAGCTCCCCCCCACCCTGATTCCCTCAATGTCTGACATTCAAAGTCCCATCTCATGTACTTTTCTCCAAAGCCAAAACTACATTTTCCTAAAGGCAAGGGTTCTTATAATTAATTTCAAATTCTTATATTAAATCCATCCAGATACCTAGTCTGGTTTTGATATTCCAAAAGCAACATTATAAGAACTATTTTGATGTGAATGTGATAAAAACCTAATCATTCCAGAGGTTCTTAATATTTCAAAAGGAATAAAAAATAATAATTCCAAAGGTGATTAAGAAATGATGCTCAGTTGAGCTTTTTGGCTATAAAGGCTTCATTATGACTGAATTAAGATGGAATCCTTTGACTTTCACAGTCACTAATGGGCAACTTCACAAGCTCTCCTTTTTCCAGAGAGAGTTTGCTGATCATGATCCAGCATCCTACTTTGCTCTGACCTCATTACAAAATCTCACTACACTTTGCAGGTGTGTTTAGATATTTTTATTATATACTATTTATATGAGTAAATCAATTGTGAAAACTTAACAAACGTGTTTCAAAATCTTTTGGGTAATAGAATAAGGAGATCTTAAATTATTTTGCAACTTTTATTCAGAAGGAAACAAAGATAATTTAAAAAATAAATCTTAACATTTCAAAATACAAGAATGTAGATATATCACCTGATACTCTAATTTGTTCATAGAACATGATTTCACTTTTTTCCTCAATCCCAGTTTAGTTATGGTGATTTTGCTCCCATGATGAGGGATCAATCCAATTTTGTTTCTCTCTACCAACTGGTACCAAATGAAATTCATCAGTACAAAGGAATTGTCCAGTTACTTCTGCATTTCAGATGGAAATGGATATGCCTAATGATCTTCAATGATGATGGTGGAGAGCTTTTTTTGAAGAACATGCTTCCAATACTTTTTGAAAATGGCATCTGTCCTGCCTTCATTGCAAGGATTTCTGCATTAGTTTTTTTTGAGGACTATGCAAATACACAGATAAAATGGCACAATATATTACTAAATATTATAAAGAGTAAGGCCAATGTTATTTTTGTCCATGGAGAAACTAGGACCATGTTATCTTTGATGATTGTTCTGAATTCAAGACATACTGATGATGAGAAATTATTTGGTAAAGTATGGATTATGGCAATGCAGCTGGATTTTGTAGCACTGGTCTTACATAAGGATTTGAATCTAGAAATCTTCCATGGTGCTTTAGCCTTTACACCTCAGACTCATGAAACACCAGAGTTCCAGCCTTTTCTTCAGAGCCTGAATCCATATCTGGCTAAGAGAGATGGCTTCATTCAGACATTTTGGGAACAGGCATTTGGTTGTTCTTTTTTAAACACTAATATTCAGGAGGACATTGACAATAGCTGTACTGGGAAAGAGAGGCTAGAATGCTTACCTGGGCCTTTCTTTGAAATGAGCATGACTGGCCACAGTTACAGTATTTACAATGCAGTCTATGCCTTGGCAAATTCTATACATTTCATTGATTCAAGCATTTCAGCATTCAAAAGAAGATTTGCAAGAAGGGGAATAGAAAATGGGATTCTGCAGTCATGGCAGGTAATCGCTCTTAAATATCTGTGGCGAGTTCTAAATTAAGACCTCATTACAGGTCATTGTCTCTAAATATTATTGCTCAAATGATTTTTCAATAAATATGCCATAAATATATATAAATAAATATGCAATAAAGATTGCATATTGCAGAAATATATATCCTCTCTTAATATTCTGAGGAATATATTGACATGCAGTTGCTCCACAATAATTTCAATGTCCTTCAGTATTATTTTTACCTTGAACTTTTGTACAAATAAATGTACTTTGCAATGATGGAAAATTACATTAGATAATTGTGAGCAGAAAAATAATGAGGGGTATTTGCAGTAGTGGGATTCAAATAATTCAAAAACTGGTTCTCTGCCCTAATGATTTCTTCCAACAATCACTTCACCAAACTGCTCAGAAAGTTAACAACTGGTTCTCCCAAAGTGGTGCGAACAGGCTGAATCACAATACTGGCTATTGCCCTGATATTTTATATAAACACACACTTGACCTTAGGTAAATGGCCAAGAAACATGTTACCAAATTTAATTACATGCTCCTCGATGATAATTCTTCAAGAGCAGCAGTATGTTTACACACCTATTTAAAAAGATTTGTGTTGACAACATGCAGTGTCCATATACTTATGGACAAAATGTAATTGTGCCCATGAACAATTTACCCATGGACAATATACCCAGTGACCCATATAGACTCAGGGATAATGAAGATATGCCCCTGGACAATACCAGTGGTGTGTTGCAGGCATACCGGAGCCTGCCCTGAGCACCAGATACCATTCCAGAGGGCCTACCCGCCCGCCTGAGCTCCTTATCTGTCTTTTAAGCCTTTGGCACGTATGACGCCTGAGCAATGCTTCGCCAAGCAGCTGGAGCATCGTGGAGGCTTGCAAAAGAGTCACAGGCAAGTACAATGCATGCATGCACCATGCACATGTGTGCGTGTGCTGTGCGCATCCATGTGGGTGAAGCTGGGCCCATTCCAACCGGTAGGGTTGGAACTGGATCTGGAAGCCACCACTGGACAATACCTATGGAAATATATTATGACTAAGGACAATCTCATAGACAATGTATTAAGTAAATCAGTGGGATATTCCGTATTGTACTTTGAAGTTCTAACTTGAATAATTAATATGCAGAAGATACAAACAGATATCCCAAACTCTCCAAACTCCAAACTTTTCTAAGCAAAGTCCATATTATTGCCAAGAGCATCCAATAAACATATGCCAGCATTCCAAATATCATCCAAAATTAAATCAGAGACCAAGGCAAAGTAATCCTCAAAGTTCCAACTTATTAAGAGAGACATGTTGGCACATATGTGGAAATCAGAATCTGAGCTTCCTGGGTTTCCCCACCCAGTTGAAAGTTCATGATCTTGCCCCCACATGCACAGGTCCATCACATGGTCCAATCTTCTACTGTCATGCTGGCAGTTCCACCCATCCAATTCCATCAGATGCAGAGGTGCAGAGACAAAGAATGACCTTGGCTTTCTAGAAACGAATTGTTTATTTTGACAACAACACATTCTACTCCTTACTATTCCCACTTCCAATTCCCCATTAATGAAACAGCATAGTAAAATAAGAGAGAGTGTAGCAAGCCAAAGATCCTAAAAGGAACCACCTGCAGGCCTGATAGGTGGCCTCTTCTCAGAAGAAAAATGTTTCCTGAGGAGAGAATAACATACGGTTTAACACAACAAAATTAACCACCTCTCCCCTGCGCCCTAGAAGGACCCTTCTCATGGAATTGTTTTACTAACTTATCTACTTTTAGGTCCCAGCTTTTCACCCAAGTAGCTTCAGACAAAGGGTACCCCTTCCAATGCACTAAATACTGTAACTCACCCCTATACAGCCTGGAATCTAAGATTCTTTTCACCTCATAATGTGTCTCCCCTTCTATCACTACAGGAGGAGGGGAGCTTGGGGAGCTTGGGTGGATGCTGGACCCAATTACTGGTTTCAACAAACTACAATGAAATACTTGGTAAATTTTCTCTAGAATTCTGGGTACATTGAGTTGAACTGTAACTGGGTTAATTATCTTCGCTATTGGGAATGGACCTAGAAATTTTGGACCCAATTTCTTGCTAGGCATTTTTAATCCTATGTATTTGGTACATACGAAAACTTTGTCCCCCACACAGAAGTGGGGTTGGAGCGAGTGGTGTTTATCAGCTTGCTTCTTGTAGGCTAGAGCTTTCTTTGTATTTTCCCAATCTTTCTTTAGTGTGTCCATCCATTCATTCAGAGACATGGAGGAGGGAGATTCTCCAGGCAGCTCAGGCATGGAAACAAATTCCATGCCACTGGCAATCTGCAAAGGAATTAATGCAGTGCTGCTTTGGACTGCATTGTTGTATGCCACTTCGGCGAAGGATAGCATGTTCAACCAGTTGTCTTGCTGATAGTCCACATAACACTGGATATATTATTCCACCATCGCATTGGCCCTCTCTACTGCGCCATTTATGCTGGGATGAACCACTGAGCTTAGTCATTGTGTGGACCCAATGGATCTCAGGAACTCTCTCCAGAACTTGACTGTGACCTGGACTCCGCAGTCTGAAATGATCCTCTTGGGCACCCTGTGCAGGCGATGAATGTGTTTCACAAACATTTTCACTAATTTCTTTGCGGACAGCAACACTGAGAAGTGATGAAGTGTCCCTGCTTGGAAACCAAATCAATAACTGTCCAGATTATTCCTTCTGCTGTCTGAGAGTTCAATGATGAAGTCCATTGTGATCTCTTCCCATGGTCAGTTAGGGCTGGCCACTCATTGTAGTAGTTCAGGGGGCTTCCCAGGCCATGTTTTCATTGTTGTGCTAGTAGCACAGCTAGTAGCACAGCATTTCATCTTCCACTTCCGATTTCATCTTTGGCCACCAAAATTGATGCCTGGCAAAGTGGCCTCCTAGTTTTGCATCATGACTTCGCTGTAGAACTTGCAGCCTCAACCGCACAGGGATGTACAGTTTAGCCTTCCAGCCTTCCAGGCTAATCCATCTTCCATCACTAGGATAACCTTGTTATTGCTGAGCCCCTGGTCTACTGGGAGCACCGATTTCATCGCTGTCATCAGCTTATCCAGGTTTCAGGTGATGACCTGGGCTGCCTTTTGGTGGGAGGAAGAAAGGATGGGTGAACAACCTCTCCCTTCTTACTGTCATACTGCGGCTTTCTTGACAAAACATCTGCAAACAAGGGTTTTGGTATTTATTGGATACCTAGGGATTTTGTCTCTGCTGCAAGTGCTGCAGGTTCTGGGCTCTTGGGTTCAATCATCCCTGGGTGGCCCTTTAGCTCCACCAGTGGTAGTGGCCCAAATGTGATCATCAATTTTTTACTGCCGTCTTCCCACTTTATCATAAGCACCAAGCCATTCAAGCCCCAAGATAATTAATTCTGCCATCTTTGGAACCACAATGAATCTGAGACGCTCATAATGGTGACCTATTTGTAACTTCACCAGTTCGGTCATTAATGTGCCTCCCCCAAATAAGCATTCCATCTATCTGCTCAACAAAATGGGATAGGCTAGAGATATTGTGTGTATGCTGAGTTGCTTTATAATCAACATGCTGATTAAGCATCGAGTGCAGCTGGTGTCCACGATTGCTTCAACTTCCCCTTCCACCCCCATTTCTGGTACTTGGAGCTTGGCTTGGAAGGTGAAGGGATGGATGGGTGCACTCACCATTGGGTCATCTACACTATTCTCTTCCTCCGAAGTTTCCCCATTGGGTGGACTCTTCATCACCTTAGGTTGGGGATCAGTTTTCTGAGGTTGTTGACCCAGATTACTCTTTTCTGTTGGCATCTGAGGCCTTCTCTTTACTGTGCTGGTGGTTGGTATGCATGTTTGTGATATTGGGGCTGGAGCCAGGCACTCTGACACTCTGTGGTCAAGTTGACAGCACCGGTGGCCTTTTATTGGCCCTCACAAGGGAAGGAATCCAGTTACATCCTACAACTTATAAACGGCCTCATCACATTTTTCCGCTTTCCATCCTGCAGCTTCCCACTCATTCATCCTTTTTCTATCGCCGAGAACATTTCTCTGTTGAAAGGTGGGGTAAGAACCTGTTGGGGCATTGCAGGTGAGATTGGACTTAGTGCGGGGGGTGAATCCCTGGGTTAGCCACTGCCCAGTTATCTGACATGGTGCCATCTGCTGAGGGAAAGCAGGTGCCCATTGGCATCTGTCCCATCCATGACCTGGGAAGAAAGCCCATTCCGGGGTTGCTTGATTAAAAGGTTGCAGCCCAAACATCAGATGCTGGCTTGGTTAAATTCCCCATGTTGGTGGCCTAGCAGGCAGCCACAGACATCTCCATGACCTGGGAAGAAAGCCCAATTTGTTGGTGCTTAATTCACAGGCTGCAGCCCAAACATCAATGGCTGACTAGTAAGAGATGGTCAAATCCCTTCCTGGTGGTTGAGTTGAATTCCCCATGTTGATGGGGAATCAACTGCAGGGTAATGGGTCATTTCATTTGTCACTGTATGGAAGGAGTAATTATCTCCAGTCCAGTGTAATGCCGAGCCTTTGCTAGGGAAGGAGGGGGAACTTTCACTCATGTTTGGCTGCACAAGTTGGTTTGGGAGGATCCTATCATCTTGTTGGCTACTGGGTGATTGTTCCTGCCCCCTCCAGCCATGTGTAGAATTAGTCTTTCCACCACCACCCCCTCTGGCTGCATCTTTCTAGATGCTATAAATCTTCAAATTTCCTCTCCCACAAATTCCTTTGCAGTCTGGAAGATTTGCAGAGAAGCGACTCATCATTAGTTTCTTTTCTCAAAAGGCTCTTCACTGATATTTTATGCTGATTGGATCAGGTCAATGTTGGGAGTCAGCACCCCTTGCCATCACCCCGTGCCAGGGTTGCTGGTGATTTATTATAAGGGAAATTCGGGTTAATGTCAGTGTTCCAAATATCATCCCAAATTAAATCAGAGTCCAAGGCAAAGTAATCCTCAAAGTCCCAATTTTTAAAGAGAGACATGTTGGCATATCTGTGGAAACCTGAATCTGAGCTTCCTGGGTTTCCCCAGCCAGTTGAAAGTTGATGATCTTGCCCCCTGGCAGTTCCACCCATCCAATTCTGGTCAGGTCCAGAGGTGCAGAGACAAACAATGATGTAGGCTTTCTAGAAAGGATTTTTTTTATTTTGACAACAACACATTCTACTCCTTACTATTCCCCCTCCCAATTCCCCACTAATGAAACAGCATAGTAAAAAAAAAGAGAGAGTTTGGCAGGCCAAAGATCCTAAAAGGAACTGGCTGCAGGCCTGACAGCATGTCTATGTAGTCATTGGGACTTGCACTCAGCTCAAGAGAATGTATATCATATTTTTAAACAACTAGTCAATTCTAATAATAATCTAATAATAATGGATTAATATGCCTGGTTTTAACCATTGTGGAGCAGAGAGGTTTGAAACATTTAAGTAAGCACGCCTAGAATTTTATTGAAAATAACTGAGCTATAAATAAAATAAATCAGCTCTCTAAATTAGAATTATTGTTCTAAACCAGTCATGAATTTTATTCTCCTAGCTCCATCACATCCTAAAGAACTTTTCATTTAACAACACAGCTGGAGAAATTGTTCACTTGAATGAGCATGGAGAATTTACTGTTGGGTTTGATATTACAAATGTCATAACTTTTCCTAATAAATCCTTTGTTAGAATAAAAGTTGGAAAAATAAATCCCTGGACAGGTCAAGGTACAGAGTACAGCATCAATGAGGATTCTATCATCTGGCCTAGAAACTTTAATCAGGTGGGAGTTTCTTACTATTTCTAGGATCAAACATTCATTTATAAAATATTTTCTAAAAGTGACTTTATTATACAATTCTTTGCTAACTAATCCTCCCAATGAATGGAACATCATAGGGATGAAATAAGATTTATAGCAGCCATATAAATAGTGGACCTATTGGCAATCTTAATTGATTGTCTTAAAAATTCACTGAATGTATTGTTGATTACTACATATAGCAGTGGCTACTATCTTGGGTATATAAACAAATAGAAATCATATCAGAAAACATAATGTTTCCAAATGTTCTATTCTTCTCAAATCCAAAGAAACAATTTTCAGAAAAGTGATGTTTTTATGTAATGAAAGACCATATTTATTATATTTAAAACCAAGATTCTGAAAATGATTTTTTTCTTGGTAGTATTATCTTCATTCTTTTCAAATAGGTAGTACCCCTTTCTCTCTGCAATTCCATCTGCCCTTCTGGTTGTCATAAGAAAAAGAAGGAAGGGGAGCCATTTTGTTGTTACGATTGTGTCCGGTGTTCAGAAGGAAAGGTTTCTACTGAAGCAGGTATAATATTTCTAGTCCATTATATTGTTAAGGCAAGCTTTCTGTATATAACAGTTTCAATAAAAAAGAAATGAGATAAAAGTGGCAGTTTCCTACACTCTTAAAATTTCTGTTTACTCTGACATATCTAAGAATAATATCTAATGAGTTTGTTTGGAACTATCACATTCAAATGTTATGAAGATAATTTACCTTGCTCTGGAATTTTGTTTCAGTATGTTTTGTTGGAATCTCTTAGAATACTTATCTTAAACCTTCATTTCCCAGTTGATGGCATCACCATGGTATCTAAGTCAGTAGTGGGTTTCAAAAAATTTTGCTACCAGTTTGGTAGGGGTGGCTAGGTGGGGGGGGGGACATGTGACTGAGTGGGTGTGACCAACTTGACATCACTCATACCCATGCCCACTAAGTCACAAGTTTCCCACCAAGCCACACCCACAGGAAAAGATGGGAAACTTTTTAGGATTTCTCCCTATCTATCCCAGCCTTCTCTTCACCAGTCACCCCCCATTTCCCTTCCTTTAGCAGCCCCATCCCTGCCCCACTTCCTCCCCCACCACTGCCTTTTTGATTGCTTACCTTCTGCAGTGGCTGGTCCAGAGTGTGGAAGGCAAGCTAACTGCAGTCTTCAGCAGCCCCCACCAGCTGCTGCTAATGGAAAGCAGCTGGCTGGTGAAGAAGCCTCCCAGCCATCACCACTTTGAGATCCATTTTGCAAAGCAGCTCTCAAAGAAGTGGTGGCTGGCCACAGGCCGCTGAAAAGTAATCCAGTCCATGAAAAAGCTGCTGTGGACTTGCAAGGCCATGGGATGCACATGCACAAAGAACATGGCAGTGACAGCAGCACCTTTTTTGATGACCAGAGGAGTTTTCACTGGTCTGCTGCCAGCCACCGCCTCTTTGAGAGCCAGTATGCAAAGCATCAGAGTGAGTGAGTAGTGACCAGATGGGGGGGATAAGCAACTGGAGACAGGGAAACCAATTTTGGGGCATGCTCAGATGGCTATTGCTACCACTATGCCAAACGGGCAATATTTCTGCTACCGGTTCAGGTGAACGGATGTGAACTGGCTGAATACCATCTCTGATCTAAGTGCTTTTCAAATAGTCCTATTCCTCCAGGTTCTGAGGACATACTATGAGCAACATTTGGGGGGGGGGAAGTATTATTCAATTTGTTATGGCATCAGCCTATAGGGACAATCATTCCAGTTTAGCTTCTGATTCCATATTGCAGTGTTTCCCAATCTTGGCAAGTTGAAGTCCAGACATCTTCAACTTGCTAAGGTTGGGAATCACTGCCGTATTGGTTATCAAGAACATACCTTGGCATAAATTCTGCGGCTGAAAAACAGAACATGGAAAACCTTATTCACATATGATTTGATGACATCAAAACTGATGCAAAGATGAACATCCAACAACTGAAAGAAGCTGTGCTTGACAGGGCAGCATAGAGAACACTTGCCTATAAAGGCACCAAGAGTCAGTCATGACTGAATGGTTAAAACAACAACATTGCCAACAAGAGCTGAGGTGGCACAGTGGTTAGAGTGCTGTACTGCAGGCCACTTCAGCTGACTGCTAGTCTGCAGTTTGGTGGTTCAAATCTCACCAGCTCAAGGTTGATTCAGCCTTCCATCCTTCCGAGGTGGGTAAAATGAGGACCCAGACTGTGGGGGCAATATGCTGACTCTGTAAACCGCTTAGAGAGGGCTGAAAGCCCTATGAAGCAGTATAGCAATAGCTATTGCTATTGCTATTTACAGTTCAACTTTTCTTTCTTTTAGACATGGATGCCTGCAACACCTGTCAAGAAGATCAGTATCCTAATAAGGAACAAAATCAATGCATACCTAAGATATTTTCCTTCCTGTCTTATGAGGAACCCTTGGGAATGGGGTTAGCCATTTCTGCATATTTCTTTGTTTTCATCACAGTTTGGATTTTATGGATTTTTATAAAGTATCGCAACACTCCTATTGTCAAAGCCAACAACAGGAGCCTCACTTATATCCTCTTAACTTTTCTTCTCCTCTGCTTCCTATCTTCATCACTCTTTATTGGCAAACCTCATAAGCTGACTTGTCTCTTCCGCCAAATGGCTTTTGGAATCATCTTTTCAGTGGCTGTTTCATGTGTGCTATCAAAAAATGTTACTGTGATTGTGGCTTTCCTTGCCACCCAACCAGGATCTAGAATGAGAAAGTGGATGGGGAAAAAAGTAGCCAATGCTATAATTCTTTTCTGTTCTTCTATTCAAGTAGGCATATGCCTTATCTGGTTGGCTACTACTCCCCCTTTTCCTGATGTTGATATGCATTCAATGGCTGAAGAAATTGTGTTAGGGTGTAATGAAGGGTCAACTGCCATGTTCTATTGTGTTTTAGGTTACATGGGTTTCCTGGCTTTTGTGAGTTTCCTTGTGGCATTCTTTGCAAGGAAGTTACCTGACAGTTTCAATGAAGCCAAGTTCATAACCTTCAGCATGTTGGCCTTTTGCAGTGTTTGGATATCCTTTATCCCTACATACTTGAGCACTAAGGGAAAATACATGGTGGTGGTGGAGATCTTCTCTATATTGGCTTCCACTGCTGGACTGCTGTTTTGCATTTTTTCCCCCAAATGCTACATTATTTTGCTGAGGCCAGAACTAAACAAAAGAGATGAAGTAATAAAACGAAAAAGATAAAATAAGCTATTTATGGGCTTAACTTAATTATAGGTATTCATTGTAGATTATACATTGCAACACACTGCACCATTCTCTGAGTACATGACTTGGAACATGTCACATTAATCTATTTTACCCTTCTGCATTTTATCTTCTGTCTGGGCATTTTATCAAGTCAGAAAACACTTTCAGTTGCAATATTTTGTTGAATGATTGATTGATCTAACTGACGTATAACCAATGTTAGATGAAGATTTATTAACATAAATTTGATAGATAAATAAATAAATAAAATATAGCTGGCCATCTCACTAAAAGTAACTGGGTGGCATACAACAGATAAAACACCAAAGTAAAAACAATATAAAGTATAAAAAAATGTATTGATAAATAGCAATATTTCTAAAAATTTATGTTTCTGTAAATACTATGGTGCATTTAAAGTAAAAACAAATAAAGGCTAGAATACAAGCAAAATGAAGTCAGTTACTTTCTCAGGAAAACTTAGTATGGTTATGAGTAACGGATTTGAGAATTTATTTGGATCTAACATTTTATAATGAAATAATCTAAATTGTCTTTCTCAGCCTAAAATATTGATAATAATCTGTTTATTTGAATGATGTACATCCAAAGGGATTTTTATTTAAAATGTATTAATTAAAATTCATTTTTATGCATCCTTTGAAAATACACAGCCTTATGCAGATTGATGGCAAAACAAGTAGAATCAAGAAATAAAGGATAGTCTGTACAGTGTTGTAACATAATCCATGGCATGGAAAGGGTGTTATTGCTGCAGCCTTTCCCTTGGCAACTATTCCACTCTGTCCTAACTAAATTGAAAGCACAAAATACCATCTGCTCTATGAGTGACTTCTTCCAGTTCCTGTAAGAGCATTGCAGAATGAGGAATATAATGATCAAAGGGAGTATTCACAGTTTGATTGTGTGTTGGAAATGCAGTCATTAATCAACTTACAGTGTTTGTTTAGTGACCATTTGAAGTTACAATGGCAGTGAAAAAAGAAACTTATAATTGATTCTTGCCCTTATGATTAGTCCCAGTTGCCTCACAGTCACAAGATCATAATTCCAGCAATTACATGTATTTACACATATTTATTGTAGCATCCTAGGGTCATATTATCACAATTTGCAACTTTCTAAAATAGCTTCTGACAAGCAAAGTAAATGGGGCAAGTTGAATTTGCTTAGCAACTGTGTGATTCACTTAACAATTGCAACAATCCACTTAATAATCATGGCAAAAAAAAAGGTTGTAAAATTGGACACAAGTCACTTTCCTTGCTTGGCAATGGAAATTCTGATCTCAGTTGTGGGGGACTGCTGGGAGGGCCGGACTAACTATCTGTAAGCAACTGATGAAACAAAAGCTCATGTAAGGCTTTTTTTTTCCAGCTGGAAATGATAGAGAAATGATTGAAGCCTGGGAAACTGCCCCTTGTCAGTCAATAGGATTTTTGATTTACCACAACCTGCTAGGTACTTAGGACCCAATGCCACACTGGTACAAGTAAATAGCAATCAATGACTTAATAGCTGGCCAAAAACAGTTGGCCATCAAGATTGTAAATCTATGCAAAGAAAGCTTACCTAAAAATGTCCATTTGAAGTTTAAGCAGCAAGAGTGGTTCAAGATAGTTCTAAATAGTTGTTTTCAAGAAGGATTAAAGGCAGAGAAGCTACATAAATCTGTCTGTAGGGTTGGCTGGATACAATTACTTGAGCCTCACCCTTTGCCTTGTGGGAAACCTCATTGATTGTGATTGCTCTGATCAGCTCTTCATGCATCAGGACTTGGGACTTAGGGGGTCAAACCTCATTATCCAGTTATTTCAACTAATAGAAGATGCTTGTAATTTTTCAGTATTCAGTATTTTCAGATAAATCATGGCTTGAAGAGTCCAACTGTCATTTTTGATTGGAGCAATGTTGTCAGAATTGGAGTCATTTTCTAAATCTGGATCCTGGCCCATGACATAAAGTTTTTCATGACTGGAGCAAAAGAAATATTCTACTAGGATATAAATTGTTTCTGTGGTTATAGAGTCAAAATTGTGGAATTACTTGCTTCTGTTGTAAGTAACAAAAATATTTATTCACAAGGTTTCAGTATGTAACCCTGAAAAGATCTCTGATAAATGAAATACAAGACATTAGAAAACACAACTAGCAATAAATTCACATGTAGAGGTACAAATTGGAGTTCTATTAAGGCATTGCCTTAATTGTAATCAATAGAAAATAGAATCTAGGTATAACCAGAATAAATTAAGAGCCTTATAACCAAAGTAAAGGAAGATACTAAAATCTGTAAAACTGGTTTCATTTTCAACCCTGTGTCTGGAAGTCAAGCTTTAAGGGTAGAGCTGGGTTTCAATTTTTTTTTACTAGCGGTTCAATGGGTGTGGCTTATTTTGTGGGTGTGGCTTGGCAATCATGTGACCAGGTGGGAGTGATTTGGTGGGCATGTGACTGGGTGGGAGTGGCTTGGTGACCATGTGACTGGGTCAGTATGGCCAATTTAGCAGTCCATTTTGCCAATTTAGCAATCCATTAAACAATACACAGCAGCCCCCTTTTCTATTCATTTTATTACTGCATGAAAATTTTATTTTAGGGGTTTTTTTAACTAGGAAAAATGCCTGGGGCAATGCCTGGGAATTTCTGGGAATTCCTCCTCCGTAAGAGGCACTAAAATAACCAAGATGATATCTGGAGCAGGGGATTGGACTAGATGAGCTCTGAGGTTCCTTCCAGCCCTGGATTGCTGTGCTATTTCAAAGCATCCTCTGAAGCTGTGTTTAGTGCCAGGTTTGTGGTCCTTTTTCTCTCCCTCCCTCCCACCCTCTACCCATCCATCTAAATCTCATTCACTTTCCCTTCCCTTTTTTTCCCTTCCCTCCCTCCCTTCCTCCCTCTCTCTCCTTCTTTCCTTGCTTTATTCCTCCCATCCTGTAAAGAACTCCAGGTGGTCTTTGGTAGGTGGAAGAAAAGCCAGACATTTTGAAACTGAGAACATGCCCATTGATCATCTGGCATTCTTAGAGCTCCACTATTGATTAGCTTAGTCTGGAGCCTAAGGATAGCAGCTAGCAGAGGTCTTCAAATTTGGCAATTTTAAGACTTGTGGACTTCAACTCCCAGAATTCTCCAGCCAGCAGAGTTGAATTATGGGAGTTGAAGTTCACAAGTCTTAAAGTTCCCAAGTTTGAAGACCACTCTGTTCCATGCACTTGGGGATCTCCAAATGGTGAGGATTTCTTTCTTTCTTCCTTGAAGGTCCCCCCAGGCTCCCAGGGGGCTGCAGGGAAGCTTGCTAGCCCCCCCCCCACACTTTATTTTGGGCCTAGCAAGCCTACCTGAAGCTTGCTGAGAGCCAAAATGGGTGCCCCCACATGCTTTATTTTGGGCCTAGCAGGTCTACCTGAAGCCTGCTGGGAGCAAAATAGGGCTGGTAGGGGCAGGGGAAGGGAAGGTTGCGAGCCTGGTGGGGACAGTGGGGAGGCACACAGCAACCTCGGGGGGGGGGCTGTAGGCTAGAGGAGGAGGCAGTTCAGTTGGGCGGGGGGGGGGGTAGGCAGGCACCAGGTCGCAGTTTAGGCAGGAAAGCCGCCTGGGAGGTGAGGATTGATTGGGTGGGATAGATAGGTGGGGCATTTGCACTTAAAATGGTCTGTGCATGTGTATAACATTAAAAAAATGGGGAGAATTACATTTTCTCCTAGTAGGTGGAGACATTATCCAGGCATGGTTATAACTCCGTCAAGATCCAATCGGACTGGGTCTACAAGCTTTAAAGACATGCCCATGAGGCTCCTTCTACCCAGCTTAGACTCTGTCAATCCTTTGGATAGCTCTGACTGTTATATCTCTCCTTCCTAAATAATTCAATTTTAAACTAAATTTGTGTTAAAAATTTCCAAATTGCTTCTAATTGGCTCCCCTTCCAAATTTACTTCAATTTGTGGTGAAATTTTGCTTTGAAGGCTTCGCAGCCTTCCAGGAGGCATTTGCCTTGCTCTCTCTTGGCTCAAAATATCGGGGAGATCATTAGCGGCTAGCCTACAAGGTTTTACCTCAGGCTCTTATCATCTGGCCGATCGCTGCAGCTGCGCGCCTGAAGAGCCGATTGCTGCAGCTGCGACGTTTGAAAAGCCTCTGCCCCTCAAAGATGCCAGCTGAAGACGCTTGAAATTGCTGCAGCTGCCTAAAAGCCGCTTGAGTGCTGGGCACTTCACACTCTGCCACTCTTTCTTGCCGCCTAAGGGCAGAGTATCCACTTTCGGCCTCCTAAGATGTTTTCTGTCTGGAACGTCCTTGCACCAGGGCCATTGTCAGGTGGCAATCCCGGCTAGCAATCAGCCACCTTCTCGGTGCAGTCCCTCAGCCCAGGTCTACTCGGTGGCCATTTTCTTTAGGCGGGAAAACTGTGGTGGCCATTTTGTGAACCACTAATCATGAGTAATGTCAACCAACGAGACCTCAACACCTCAGGGGGATATCCAATCTACTCCAGCCATCGTTCCTCCTTCTGTGCCCTCTGAACCACAGAGCCACAAGAGAACCTCGGCTTCTCAGCCACCATCAGCTAAGCTGGCTAAGGCCTCTAAGACTGCTTCATCTCAGGAGGCCTCCAACATTTCTGCCTCTGGTTCAGATCATGATAGGGCCTCAGATTCTGTCCCATAAAAGGCTACATCTAAAGCTAAGCATTGCACTGGTCCTGTCTCTGTCTCAGTGGTTTCTCCTCAAGTAGTGGTCAACACCCCTGAGTATCTCTCTACTGACACCAATGGGGATGTTTCCACTTCTGCTTTCCCATTGAATCTGGAGGATAGTATTGGGTTTGAAAGGGGAGTATGCTTCCAAAGGGCATGGCAGTGTCACCCCGGATATAGACATGGGGTCCCCTTCCCCCAGACATATTACTGTCAATCCTACTGATATGGCTGACATCATAGCAGCGGCTATTGAATGGGGGATTGCAGCAG